AAAACAGTACAAGAGTATGCTTTTCACAACGTTATTTATTAATCAAAAGGTACATATACCGTCACCTCAAAGTAAAAACGCGCCCTGACGGTTTGGTTTTTTAGTGGAAAAAACTTTTCCCCTATTATTTCCATGTTCAACAATTTTTGTGTTAGACTCAGTTGAATTATATTATAACCCTAACCCTGACTTTTTAGGGTTAAACTTTATTTTGTTTAAACTGTGCTTGATTCTTATTGAACCCGTGAGATATTATGCCATTTTTATGTTAAGAAAAACCATCCCACCGACCACGTGGGATCCCACGTGGTCGATGGGATGGTTTCTATTAACATAAAAATGGGATAGTCATTCTGCCTCGTTTTCTGAGGACATTGATCCAGATGTTTACCTGTCTTGTAGTCGGTATTTAGAGAATAGAAAAAAAAAACTGTGGAGGATCTTAAAGACCTCTTTGAAAACAGTACAAGAGTATGCATTTTACAACGTTATTTATTAATCAAAAGGTACATATACCGTCACCTCAAAGTAAAAACGCGCCCTGACGGTTTGGTTGTTTAGTGGAAAAAACTTTTCCCCTATTATTTCCATGTTCAACAATTTTTATGTTAGACTCAGTTGAATTATATTATAACTAAACTGAGTGTTTTATGCTCTAAAATGAAAATTGACAAAAAACCTAGATGGTGCATTCTTACTTTGAGGTGACGATATAAAGTATTTTAAAAGATCCTTTTTTTTAGGTAGGTTGTTTATAAACGAAATAACGGCAGAACAGAGTATAAAATCAAATGCCTAGAGCCATATTGCTCTTCTTTTACTACTAAATTTTCTCGACACTTGCAGGAAAAGCATCAGTATAGTACTGAATTGTCAAACAATTATCAGTCCTTTTATTTAAAATATTTTAAGTTTATAACGCGTCTTTTAAAAAACACCAACAAACCATATTCCTGCAGCCATTGCAAGCTGTAGTTTAATAGGTTAGTCATCTAATTAATGAAAACCATTATTCCTTAATATGATCGCAGTGTTTAGACCTGCCTGAGAGATGAATGAAGCAGGTTCAGGTTTTGAATCTGGTCTTTGGCGGTACCATAACGGTGTTCCACTTTCAAAACTTATGATGGGAGGGGATTTCAACTGCTTTCCCATCATCTCGGAAGGACCATTCTTTCAGCTGCTCCGTAAGATTGAGGATGGTATGGTGGAGTTTTATAAGGCACGCAACCAATTTTCTTTAGCCACTGGTGTAAGGTGGTATCATGAAATTCCGCAGCATCTTCCGCAATTGTTTAAAGGTAACATTTTATCAGCATATTTATCAATGTGTCGACCATAAAAGTTTATTAATCCAAAAATGACTCGAGTTCCTTTTTATCATTAGGAGGATTTATTCCGAGTATTTTGCTGACTTAATTACGATCTGGGGTAACTCCCTTTTCTGACAGTTCATATTATAAAAAGGAAAGGCTTTTTGTTTCATTCACTGACTTTTTATTTATGCTCATTCCCGATTCCTTCAATTAGCTCAATATTTTATTCGAATTCAAATTGAGTTCTTCAGCATATTTAGCACCGACACAATTATCATCTTGAAATATAATCATATAGGGAATAATATCGCCAACAACAGATTCAATCGCTCTATGAAATATCACACTTGCAGTCTTTAATCCGAAAAGTAAGCAAGTCCATCATAATAATCCAATAGGGGTATTAACTGTCGTTATTTCTTGTGCCTCTTTGTCCATCTCAGTTTGATGATAAGCTCCTTTGAGATCAATTTTAGCAAAATATTTCATCCCTGCCATTTTATGAAATACGGTCTCAATGTTTGGGATAGGATATGAGTTTGAGCATATTTTTTGGTTTACACCTATTTTGTAATCCGCACAAATGCGTAAATCTCCGTCTATTTTTCTGACAACTACAAGCGGTGAAGCCCATCTGCTTCCACCAGGAAGAAGCAACCCTTGCTGTATCACCTGTACCAAGCAACCTTGCTGTATCTGCTTCCACCAGGAGAAGCAACCCAGGCAACGGTAGCATTTTTGTAACTTTGGTTTAGACATTAGTTCCCAAAAATTCTTTGGAATAGTTGTGACTTGACTTCCAATGTCAACTTGCATTTTTATATTGAAGTTATTTTTTACACTAATCTCTGAGTTTGTATCATTCATGTTAATGGAATACACACTAGCATTATCGTTCTTTATTTCCTCTACTATTTTTTTATATATCATGTTTGCTTTGCATACGTTTTTAAAGTGGTTCAGTATCTCACATTTTTTCCAAATCTTCCCAAATGCTGGACATTTCCTAGGTGGGTGTTGAAGGCCACAACACTTGGATTTTATCGTTCTTTCTTTATTTTTATCAATGTAATTAAATAAAGGAAGGTCTTTGCATCTTTTAATTTCTTTGAACGTGCGGATGCTGAAAAGCATCTAACCCATGCTTCTGCATTGTCTGAATCATCTAAAGTCAAATGGGATCC